TTTTTTTTTTTTTTTTTGCTCAGTTAAATAGTTCTGCAGAGCCTCTTCTTCCTCGTTTATCAATAGAAAGGGCAGCAGCACTTTATCGGTTTGGTAGTGGCGCATTCTCCTTAGATTTCCAAGGAAATGGACTCGTAAACCCTAAACCCTAAACCCTAATTAAACCCTAATTAAACCACAATTTAATTCTAAACCCTAAACCCTTAATTCATGTCACAAACCCTAACACACAAACATACACACACACACACCCTTAACTGTACTAAACCCTCTGGGCTCCTAACACCATATTATGTAGTTACTAGTAGTACACCATTAGGGTTTAGGGTTTAGGGTTTAGGGTTTAGGGTTTAGGGTTTAGGGTTTGTGTGTATACAGGAGAAAACCCTATTTAAGGATCCTTGGGTATCTCCTGCCTATCTAAGCGATCCTGCAGTCCTTAGTCAATTCCCTCCAACTTCTATTCATGCTGGCTCTGTTGAGGTACATAAACCCTAAACCCTAAACCCTAAACCCTAAACCCTAAACCCTAATTTGGGAATTATAGTTCATGACCAGGCAATAGTAACTCCCTAACCGCCATAACTTGTGTGTTTCTTTCTCTTTATTTATTTAATGTATTTAATTAATTAATTTAATTAATTTATTTATTAATAAATAAATAAATAAATATATTCTTTTTTTTTCCCCTTAGGTTCTCCTTAGTGACGCATTAGTGTTTGCTCGTCGTGTTAACGCTGCATGCTCAAACCCTTCTTCCTTCGATACACCTCAGCATCTACCTCCTCTAACTATACCAATTAACCGCAGCAGCAGCAGCAACAGCAGCAACAGCAGCAGGAAGAATAGTAGCAGCAGCAGCTGCAGTTGCAGCAGCAGCGGCAGCGGCGGTGATGCGGTAGACGCACATGATGGCGATAAGAAGGAATGTGTGCATGCAAGCAGCAGCAGCAGCAGCAGCGGCAACAGCAGCAACAGCAGCAGCAGCGGCAGCAGCGGTAACAGCAGCCGCAGCAGCAGCAGCAGCCGCAGCAGCGGCAGCAGCAAGGGCATATCACGGCTCATTTTAAAGGATTCTTCAGCAGCAGCAGCAGCAGCAGCAGGAGCAGCAGGAGCAGCAGGAGATGCAGCAGCAACAGCAGCAGGAGATGCAGCAGGAGGAGGAGAAGAAAGTCCTCGTGAGGTCTTAACCTTTTTCTCTGCAGAGAGTCTAACAGATCATCTGCAGCAGCCACAGGAAGCAGCAGCAGCAGATGCTGCTGCTGCTGCTGCTCCTCCTTTCTTTGATCAATTAGGTTGGCTAACAGAGGAGGCCCTGCAGCAATTAGATAAGGAAGGAATTATTGATGCAACAGCAGCAGACAGCAGCACAACTAAACAAGCAACTGTTACTGTATGGAAAGATGAATTCCATGTTGTAAGAATTATTAGGGTTTAGGGCTTAGGGTTTAGGGTTTAGGGTTTAGGGTTTAGGGTTTAGGGTTTATTTGGGTGGGGGATGGGATGGGTGTCCAATTTTATTGTTATTATCTCCGAGTGTTTTATTATTTAATCAACTCATTAGGGTTTAGGGTTTACAGTATACTACTACTATTCTAGGGTTTAGGGTTTAGGGTTTAGGGTTTAGGGTTTAGGGTTTAGGGTTTGTGGCTCAGTTCCCCTGTTTTGGATTCTTGGAGGAACCCTCGGCGTCGGAGTGTTTGCAGCAAATTGCTGATTGGATAAATGCCCAATTTGGTGAGGAAGCAGCAGCAGCAGCAGGTGACGATTCTGCTGCTGCTGCTGCTGCTGCTGCTGTTAGTGGTGGTGCACCACCAGCAGCAGCAGCAGGGGGGGAGACAGCAGCAGCAAAATCCCCAACAGATACAACACATGCTGCAGCACCAATGCGTGCAGCAGCAGCAGCAGATGCAGCAACAGCAGCAGCGCCACCAACGAATAGGCCTGCTGCAACAAATGCAGCAACAGCAGCAGCAGCAGCAGCAGGAAGAGCAGTAGATGCAGCAACAGAGACAGACAATGCAGCAACAGCAGCAGCAACAGATGCAGCAACAGAGACAGACAGTGCAGCAGCAACAGATGCAGCAACAGAGACAGATGGTGCAGCAACAGCAGATGCAGCAACAGAGACAGATGAAGCAGCAGCAGCAGCAGCAGCAACAAAAGAGGGAAAAGCAGCAATTGCTGCTCTTGCTGCAGCAGCAAATACAAATGCAGCAAAGTAAGCTAAATGAAAATGCAGCAGCAGCAGCAGCTGCAGCAGCAGCAACAGCAGCAGCAGCAGCAGCAACAGACGCAGCAACAACAACTAATCCCGCAGGACACACACACAACACAGCATGCGCAGAGACAGCAGCAGAAACACGAGCAGCAGCAGCAGCAGCAGCAGTTGTTGTTGTTGCTGCTGCTGCTGCATGTCCTACGCATGCAGAGGCAGCGGATAGCTGCGTCAATATGAGGAAACAGCAGACAGTATGCTGTGGCAGCAGCAACAGCAGCAGCAGCAGCAGCAACAGCAGCAGCAACAGCAGCAGAAGTAACAATAACAAGTAGTAATAGCAGCAACAGCAGTAACATAAATGGCGACAGGAGCAGCAACAATAGCAGCAACAGCAGCAGCAGCATTAGCTGCAACGGCAGCAGCAACATTAGCTGCAACAGCAACTGCAGCAACAGCAGCAGCAGCAACAGCAGCACAAGTCTTGGCAGCAACTTGGCGTGTCTCTACAGCAGCAATTCGTGCTGCAGGAGAATTTTGCTGTTTGCTGCTGCTGCAGCAAGTGACACATGCAATGCAGCAACAGCAGCAGCAACAGCAGCAGCAACACTAGTACCAGCAGCAACAGCAGCAGCAGCAGCAGCAGCGAGTTCACAGGTAGTGAGCTGCTGCTTCAGCTACACGAGACATAAACCTCTTGTCGTCACCAGCAGCAGCAGCAGCAGCAGCAGCAGCAAATGCTGCTGCTGCTGCTAGCTGGAACAGCAGCAGCAGTTGCTGTAACAGCAGCAGCAGCAGCAGCAGCAGCAGCAACTGCGTCTGATTACACCGCAGCGGATGGACGCCTTTGTATCAGGCGGCCAGCAGCAGCAACAGCAGCAGCAGCAACAGCAGCAAAAAGGGGCAGCAGCAGCATCATCATCATGAGCAGCAGCAAGAGAGCGACTGCAGCAAAGGCAGCAGCAGCAGCAGCAGAAGTAGCAGCAGATAATAAGTCTGTGTTAGTTGTTGCTTTTCTCTCTTGTTATCTGCATGCATGCATGCATGCATGCATGCGCCTCTGAGGTGTACGTACACCGCAAGAAGGGGAATTAATTAATTAATTATTCCTTTTCTTCTTTCTTTCTTTTGTCCTTCCTTTTAACTTTAATGCATTATATGGAGAATTTTAATTTATTGTTCACACAGAAAAATTTTTTTGTTGAGGGTTTAGGGTTTAGGGTTTAGGGTTTAGGGTTTAGGGTTTAGGGTTTATAAACTGTACAGTCCTACTATTCCTTGCTGGTGGGTTTATGATGTTTTATATTTTATTATTCTTTCTTTATATGCCGCTAGCTGTAACAAGGGTTTAGGGTTTAGGGTTTAGGGTTTAGGGTTTTTATTTAGCTGCCTATACACCTCAGATATTCGCGAGGGTTTAGGGTGTATAGGCAGCTGTGGGGCCCGGGCCTCATTCACTAGCACACGGAGAGTAGAGAAGAAAAGAAGAAATAAATAAATAAATAAATAAATAAATAAAGTAAGATACTTTTAGATATATTTTAATTTAATTTAATTTTATTTATTTATTTATTTAATTAAAAAAGAAACGCTCTTTTATATAAATAAAAATAAATATAAATCATGAGGTGTATGTACACCTCATGGTGACCCTGACGGTATAGTAGAAGATGCATAAAAATGATTATCTTGGGTCTTTTTTTGTGGTTTTTTCAATAAAAATAAAATACAATGGCAAATAAAGAATAAAATTCAATTTATTTCATTGATTTAATGGTAGAAAAGCCCCGAAGTGACCTTCGGGTGCAGCAGCAGCAGCAGCAGCAGCGAGGCGGCTGCTGCAGACTCGAGGAGGCTTGAGGGGCTTGCTGCGGTGTATCTGCAGCTCTTCATTTATATTATAAATTAAAATAATAATTTATGAATAATTAATTATATTTTATTTTATTTTTTATGTTGAGCAAGCCTGTAGTTGCTCTCCTGTTTGCTGCTGCAGCGCAGCAGCAGCGCAGCAGCAGGATAGCAGCAGCAAACCCATAACACCAGCAAAAAAAAGTAATAAAATCGGTGCTGCTGCTGCTGTTGCTGTTGCTGTTTCTGCCCTCTTTCTTCTTCTTTTGTTGCTGCTGCTTCCTTTTTCTTGTATAATTAAATAATTTATTTAATTAATTTATTTCTTTTTTTTATATAAAAAGAAAGAAAAAAGAATAAATAACAATAAATATACAACAGAGCAACTCTGCTCTCTATAGTAAGCAAGTAACTTATATAATATATATA